ATGGGTAACTTTTTTAGATAAGTGACATTAATGTGTTTAATTTCTTGAAAAACCTGGTCATCTGCATGACCATTACACACAAGCATCACCATTAGATAGGAGTCTTCATTTGAGTCACTCTCTTTATGTAATCTGCTACTTGTGGTGTTGCACATACATCGAAGCAGTTTGTTTGAAAGCTATAGCCATTAATAATTTTTTTTTCAGGTACAGTTTGGATTCAATTTGCCAAAAATTCTCGTTTCGTTTGGCACCCTGCTTATAACTGCTGTTGCAGTTACTATTGCACTGCGCCATAATGCTATAGAAACTTGTCTGCATGTTAAAGCAATTTTTTTTATTCATTCTGCTCTTTTTCCATGTGACTCACACCGAGTTTCTCAAAATGACATCAGCTGTTAAGCTACAGTCACAAAAGTTTGTGTAGCCAGGGCAATGAAGACGGGAAGAACAAGGTGAAAAGAGGTTTAAACAAAATGTTTGCTAATGTTGCAATTTCAAAGGCTTTTTTAATCTCACATATATAGGGTCACTTCTCGTGTATGGTCAGGACTCCGGAAATATTGATACCAATCTTTTCACTGGACACTGATCCTGAAGTAAAGCTTTTGTTCTGCAGTTATGTTATAACATGGTAACTAAATGGAGTGCCTCATGACAAAAAATACTTAAAAGCCATCACATCTGGGTAGCTTACCCGAAAAAACATTATTATTTGCAATAGGTGACAAATTAATGTTGGCACTATTGAGAAATGTCGCAAGCAGCCACAAAGTCATTAAAAAAAATATGGGAGGAGGAATTTCATGTGGACGCCACTGGCCACAAGCAAAAGATTGGCGACCTGGGTGTTTGAGACCCCTGTTTTGTACTATTTCAGAGAACACCAGTTTTTGTTTTTAATTTCAGCAGTTAGAGATGGGGGCATCTGCTCTTGATCATTTGTTTTGGGTGGTGCAAGCTTGTGAAGGCATCACAGCATTATCTGCACGTGCTGGGCATGTAATGTATTTATTGTGCAGGAGATACTAGGCTGTGTTTGTGCAAAGGGGAACTAATGCTTTGCTGGTGCTCAGAAATTGTAGAGCTAATTTGTGAAGTGTGCGACAAACTGAATAGACTTTGACAAGCTTATGTGTTAGTAGCATTGTATTATGCTAAGCCATGCTTAGTTGCACAGGTTCTGCAGCATGGCCCTGGGACAGTAGTTACTTATTTATTTATTTAAAAGATTCCTAAGAGGCATTGTAAGAGGCATTGGGTAAGGGGTCATTACATAATAACATGGCTGAATGTATACACATAACTTTATGAGCACACTACCTAAAATCCCGAGCAAGTGCTCGCTTCTCCAGAAGATTTAAAATATGCAGCCTCTTTTCCCTTGCCACTATTTTCACAGTTTTATTCACTGTTTTTATTCGCTCAACACGAGTGAATTAAAACAGTATATGTGTGCTTATTAAATAAACGATTCAATTAAAAGCATGGGTTTGCATTCTTAATTTTTAGCGGATCTTGAATTTTGGTCAATCACCAAGCAAGACCCCCCTCCCCTCTATTTCTTGTCCTTCATCATAGGGGGGGGGGACGACGACGCTTGCTCGGGATAATATGGTAGAATATTACTTTACAACAAGTGTAGAGGCAACATGATTACTAGAGTAATAAGAAAGGAGTTCAATGTGTCATACACAAATTAAAATTAGAGAAAAAAATCAAGATATATTTTGTACATGTGTAGGCAGTACAGCATAAGAATACAAGAATAAGGAAGAATGCATAAGAAGTCAGAATAAGAATACAAGAATGAGTAAGAAGAAATAACACTCATTAGCATGAGAGCTAATAAAACACACATACTAATGACAAAAAAAAGTTGTTAAGAGTGTTGTCAAGGTTACGTGTTGGAATGTAAAATGACGAGTTGACGTTAAAATTTGATACATAGATTTGTGGGCACTGGTTCTTTTTCCTTCCAATTTTTCCAAACTTAAAATGGAAAAAAATGTAGCATTTTTGTAGTTGCAGTGCAACTGTGATGTGGTTATACGGCATTTTTATTGTAATATCTGGAGAAGGTTAAAAACTAAGCTCACGAAAGGAAAATGATAATTCAATGTAACATATATCATAAATTTACAAGGAAGAGCAGGAAGTAGCAAGACACATTCTTAACTTACAACTGAAGTCTGTGAAGTCGCAGGAAAAACCATAAATTCAAGCCACAGGCCAACCTACAAAGTAGTAGCACACCAATGCCAGGAGCAGAGTCGTGTAAAGTAACACCGAAGAGAGGTGCGTAGTCATGACTTTTTTTTGTTTTTACTAACAGCAAAACCCCTTCATAGCGTAAATTATGTTAGTGCGTGTTCACAGTGGTTTTACTCATTTGTCCTAATTGGTGATAGGAGGTGTACTACAAGGGCTGAAGTGGGGGGGGGGGGGGGTAGCTGACACAGACTATGGCGGGGGGGGGGGGGGGGGGGGGAGTGATCATCCTTTTTCTGGATCCACGATTGACCAATACATAGTTACAAACACATGCATGCTGCATCTTTAATAATCTCTCTTCAATAGGTGCTGTGAGTTGCAAAGACATGATGGATAACACCCAGTCTTTTTCCAGATAGTATTTGTCAGCATAGGCACAGTGCAGATTACTGGTTGTTCTATGTCCTGAACTTTCCTATATTGGTATACTACAGCAGACACACAGAAACATGAGCTAAAGTTCAACGAAACAGTCAGCTAGTGCCACTGTCTTCTGTTTATTGTATAGCAGTGCATGCCACCCATGCGTGGTCCTTCCAATGGCTATGCCTTGAGGATGCAGCCGTACTCAAACCTCATTATAATAATATTGCATTTTACACGAGAACCGTTTGTTTTAATTAAAAATTTGTTATAAAGATTTATTCCGAACACTATTTGCAAGACTATTCTCCATTTGCTTTGTTATAACCAATATTTTGTTATAGCCGGGTTCATTATATCGAGGTTTAAGTTATGTGCCTGTTAGATGCACATTGCATCAACATTCTCATTTCAAGGATTTTCCAATTCTGTCATAACTGCGTATTTTGATCAGGATGGTCACCTACACAGTGCTGTCACCATAATGGGGCAAACTGTCCGTATGATTGTTGTTTCAGAATGCTCAAAAAGCCCTGTAATGATCATGCAAAGGAGCAGCTTAGCATAACTCTTAAAGGGACCCTGAAATGTTTTTTTTAAGTTTTGTCAGCATTTAAGCTAGAAGATTATCAAACCATTAGCACCATAAATTTAGTGATCCGCGATGTACCAAGGCCGCTACGGACAATTATATCATTTCTTTCTTCTCACCTCTGCCTCAACTCATGAGGCGCCCTGGCATCGCTGGCGATCACAGAGCTCTCATGACAGCCGCTTGACAATTTGAGCCTTTACCAGTCCAGACCTTCAAAAATGCACATCGACAGGTTGCGTGCAGTGCCGGAGGCCATCACATAGTGTGCCCGGCAGCACACACGTTGTCTAGCCACACAGACAAAGATCACGGTGTGGTTCATATTTGCTCTGACAGGTGCCACCATCCTACCAGCCGATCTTATTTCCGCGCCCATGAAAGCCAACCAGATCAGACGTCATGGTGATGTGCTTTGTCCAAGAGTGTGTAGCTCTGTAATAGGGCAATTGAAAACGAGTTTAACCGAGTCACAACGATCTGCAGCGATTTGCAATTTTAAAGCATTGTAATAAATTACACAGTTTACGTAGAGAGCTCAAACAGGTTTCTAAATAACCCTTGAGTTTTGGTCGACCCGCCCATTGTGTTTTTACAATATCACCAAACCCGTTTCAGGGTCCCTTTAACGTAAGCAAGTTGCACAGGTAATAGGAAGCAAAATAATTGCTTTCATGCCAGGTTGTTTTTCATAATACAGCTTAAAACATTGCTGTATGTTGTTGGGAAGAGATGTCTGCAGCAGTTCTCGGTCGGACACTGCTTGACAGGTGTTTCCTGGTTGACTCACATGTGTATTTTCTCATTGCATCATGCACCATCTCTAAAAGAGTAAGTAAGCTTGTTTTACTTGAGCGTTCTTTGCTCTTGTTTCTGACAGAAATGAATTGAGGGTGGGTAAAGGTTTCTGACCACAAAGGGTTAAAGCTGTTTTTCATTAACTTCATGGCATGGCCAGAACAGTCTAGAATGATGACCTGAGCGCACCGTGCGCTTCATTTAACGGGTTCATGAAAAACCCATGAAACATGGGGTGTTCGTGAAGCCGCTATTAAGGTTTCGACCAGTAGACTCGATTGCTTCAGTGGGGAGACGCGTATCTCTGTAATGTTATGTATTTGCAAGAGGGTGGTACCGTAGGCATTCTGGTCTGCTGGCAGTTAGTGCTAGTCCTAGATGTAACACACCTACTCTCACCATCGCAGCCTATTTGCTACTTTTGATGATAATGCCTATGCACAGTGCTTGCTGATTGAAACGTCAACACATTACATCAGAACATATTTATCAGCAACTGGCGCGTGGCCCCGAGATAATTGTGTCATGTTGATTGATATGTGGGGTTTAACGTCCCAAAACCATCATATGGTTACAAGAGATGCCGTAGTGGAGGGCTCAGGATATTTCGACAACTGGTGTTCTTTAACGTGCATCGAAATCTGAGCGTATGGGCCTGCAGCATTTCTGCCTTCATTGGAAATGCAGCCGCCGCAGCAGGGATTCGATCCCGCGACCTGCTGAGTAGCTTAGCCACTAGACCACTGCAGCGGGGCTAATCGTATCATGTCACTGCGAGTTCGGCCACTAAAGGTAATGCTGAATCTGGTGTAAGTCTTCAAGTCAAAATAACCCGAATATGACATGAACTGAAAATGGTGAAAATGAATGTGCATTGTCGATCTCAATCTAAGACGACACTACTTACAGCATAGAAGTAGCTAACTGGATGTTATTGACAAAATGAGTCTTCAAAACACAAACCACTTGCAAATAACTTGTATCATAATTGGACTTTATTTGCATTCTAGTAACAAGCAACTACACAGTTTTATATTGATGTTCCATGAGCTTATTGTGCTGCATTACTCAGACCACAAGCTGCACTTATGCACCAGTTTTTGCAGAAGTATCAGTTTTTACGACCAGCTTGAGAGAGACATCCGACCTGAAGGTTGCTGCAAGATCTTGTCTTGACTCGGCAGCAACTGCCTTTATTGTTTTCCCACCGTCACCTAGGATGTGCTTGACATGACGTGTACTTTTTCCTATAATCTCCAGAACAATATGAAGAACTCCGGCTGAGTCTAGATCCCACCCTGCTACTCTCACAGACAGATTGTAGGGAACATCTCGAGGCAAATGGTTGAGGACCTTTTCTCGCACAATTAGGGTCGCCAGCTCATGGGGATTTTGGTCAGTAACCAACTCAAATGGATACATCCATTCAGAGGGTTTTGCTGATTGAAGAAAGAAGTTTCTGATATCACTCACGCCGTCATCATTCAGTGCAGATATCATAAAGACACGGGAAAAATTGCGCCAGCAGTTCTTGTGCTTACTTTGGCCTAGCTGGTTTTGCACTCCCATTCTATCTAAAGCCTCCGCCTGTAGGTTCGCTGTTTCTGTTTTCGATGTTTCTCCCGCTCTGGCAAAAAGTTCCTCGGGACTCAATCTTTTCTTCACAATTTTCTCTCTGTAGGCGGTTACACCTCCAACCACCCCACCAGTCAATGAATGCGTGAACTCCAAAATCTGCCTTTTCGACCTCAACAGGTCTACTTTGTTAACAATCAAAACTGAAGTTAACTGTGCGTTGTACTCTAGTAACCTCAGTGTCTCCTCGTCGAGCGTGTGCCGCCGCCAGTGATCTGATGCGTCCACCATCACTGCGACAAGATCGGCGTTGAGAAGCGCGTGCTCAGGGTCGACAATCATGGTTGCTTCCAAGTGATGCTTTCTGCCGTGATCGAGGTCGACGATACCAGGAGTGTCCAAAATGACGATCTGAGTCTCACCATTCACAAAAATGGCTTTGGCATTGTGTCTAGTCGTGTGAACTTTGCTCGATACAGCGCAGACCTTCCAACGCATCAGTTGGTTGACCAACGTTGATTTACCCACATTTGGCTGTCCTATGATGGCCACACGCAGTAGTTTTGGGTTACTTGGCTGAGCAGGCACAGCAGACTGTAAACGACTGTATTCTAAAAGCGTTCTTGGAACAGATCTATGTGTTGGTCTGGGAAAGTCACTTGCACAAGTTGATTGCCGGCTACGAGACGACTGCAAAATGCTCCTCGTGACAGCGGTAAGCGTCACGACTTGACGCCTTGAAAACATTAGTGGTATGTTCACGAGCAATTTATCGCCCTGAATCTTTCAATTGAACGCTCTGTCTCATCACCGATTATAATTATTTCACTGTCTCTGAGCGCACATTTCGGCGCACGGCGCGAAGCGTGGTGGTGGAACATGCGACAATCCCTGGCGGTCAAAAATGCGACATCACATACACACACACGCACATACATACACAAAAAGAGTTTCATACAATTGTACGAAACTCTATCTTTACGAAACTCTATGCACACAAAAGACACGATAAGCAATAAATATAAGAAAAATATAATGACACGTTTAAAAACGTTGGTGGGCCTATTTTTTGTCTGTGTTGTCAAAGGTTTTTATAAAACCATAAAGTTTTATGTGTATGTGACCGATGTAAAAAAATCATTGTATTTTTAAATATAAAAAATAGATGCAGTTTTGTATTTCAGTATTTCTTATTAAGCGCTAAAAATACATAATAAAACTGCCTTTAATACAAAATAAACTACAGCTTAACTTGCCTCTCGATTATCTCGACGTAAAAAAATGGCTTTATGCAAGCCAAGCCAATAATCCAGCCAATCTTGTCGGTGTGCACGTGCACGTCTGGAACGTATGTGTGCGTAAAGATTACTGCATTCAGCGCTTTTGTGTCATGATCGTCACATTTGTAGCCACGGGAGGACAGTGTTGACTGACGGTCGTATCTATTCTGTGGACCGTCCCTAATATAAGCGTCAAGATGTCCCGAAGGCCCGAGTATTCTGCTCCTCCGGAGCTCTTTTATAACGAAGAGGAAGCGGAGAAGTACACAAGCAACTCGCGTATCATGGAGATTCAGACGGCAATGTCGGAGCGTGCCGTCGAGCTTTTGGCTCTGCCAGATGACGAGACATGCCTCATACTCGACCTTGGATGTGGCAGCGGCCTGAGTGGCGACGTTCTAGAAGAACAGGGCCACGTCTGGGTCGGCGTCGACATCAGTCGTGCCATGCTGAATGTGGCACAAGAACGGGAAGCTGCTGGCGACATGCTTTTAGGGGACCTAGGCCAGGGTCTTTGCTTCCGCGCGGGGGCATTCGACGGTGCTATTAGCATCTCAGCGTTGCAGTGGTTGTGCAATGCTGACAAGAAAAGTCATAGTCCCGTTAAACGCCTGCACGCATTTTTCTCCAGCCTGTATGCTTGCCTAGGACGCGGCCGGCGCGCGGTGTTCCAGTTCTATCCGGAGAACGCCGATCAAGTGGAGCTTCTCACCCAGCAGGCCATGCGAGCAGGCTTTACCGGGGGACTCGTGGTGGACTACCCGAACAGCACCAAGGCGAAGAAAATGTTCCTCGTACTGTTCACTGGTGGGCCACAAAAACTACCCGCTGCTCTCGGCGCGTCCTCTGAGCAGCGTGACCAAATTGAGTGCACAGAGCGAAAACAGCGGCTTCACAAGCAGCGTGGCAAGGGCCCGAAGAGCGCAGCTGCCTGGATTCAAGAAAAAAAGGAACGTCGTCGAAGGCAGGGCAAAGAGACCAGGCCTGACTCGAAGTATACGGGCCGGCGGCGTTGTGGTAAATTTTGATAGTGGGCTGCCGTACTAGCTCGTGTTTGTGCATGGCGGACACTTATTTAAAAAAAAATTGCTTGTAAACTAGTTGTTCTTGTAGTTTAAATTTGGATCCTTTCACATGAACGTGTCTGCAAATAAATTGGACTGTCCAGGAGAAAACATTTATTTTTGTTTCTATTTTGTTGACCCAGAAGTTTGTTGAAAGTCTTTTAAGGTTAATGCGTTCCGACAAAAGCACATAATACTGCATCAGGAAATATTCAGCCAAGCTCTTTGATATGATAAAATTCATCCGACATGTGTCTTCTGTTTTAACTGGTTGACAACATGGTGACCCAATTTAAGCAATGTAAGGCACCCCCTTATGCTAAGATGTAGTGTACAGCCATCGTTTTGATGAAAGGGAACACACAAGTGCGTGGCAAATGGCTTCGTGCCTCATGTGTGGCACAGTGAAGTGGGGAAATGTGAAAATAAGCGAGTGGTGTCCTTCATTCTACTGCCTATACTACCAACATGAATACATTTATCTTTATTTTACGCTTTCTTTTTCTTATGCATACTTTTTAGGAAGTTTCAGTGATCAACAATCTTTTTTGATAAGGACTGTGGTTGTCACAGTTTAAGGCTGCTGCTCTTGGAACAACTTATGGCGAATTCCATTGAGAGAACAGGAGTAGAGGGGCAAAGCACTGAGGAGTGGAGGGCAGAGCACTGAGAGCAGGGCCGCTCAACCTGCCACTGGAATGTGCTGCGCTCCCGGAGGGCAGGTAAGAAGGTGACGAATAGGGAGACCATGTGACTGAAACATTCCAAGCCCCGGCATATTCTTTGTGGGGCAGCAGCAAAATATGCGTGAAATCAATCAGCCACATATTCTTCATATCCTAATATCTAGTATGCTTGTGCAATGACTCATTTGGCAAACGTCCAGCTCTCATCGTAGCCATCCGTACAAAACAGCGGGGTCAAACTACACATGGTTGCTACCATTGCTGCCGCGCTCGCCGGCTGAAGAAAAATGTGGAAGCTGTGACGTTCAAGGACCACGTGACTCATCGTACTGTGCCTAGTTCGCTTTTCAAGTGAGAGCACTGCAAACTGCTCCTGGCTGCTCTCGGCGCAGCAAGAGCACTCTTGTTTTACCAATGGATGACAGTGCTCCTGCACCTGTTTGACCACTGCAACATGCCGGCTCTGAAGAGAGCACTATAAAAGTGCCTTTGAGTGCTCCTGCTCTCCCAATGGAATTCGCCATTAGAGTGTTTGAAAACAAGAAAAACTTCAAGAAGGCTTGCAGGCAATAAAAAGAATTGCACCGCTCTCTTCCTTTAGCTCACATTTCGCCGCTGCAACAAGTCACATGCAGTTTGAAGCTATTTACTAAATTCTCGCGTGATCCCTTTCATAAATATGATAGCTGTATATTTTACTTTGAATACTGGTTAAAGACAAGCAGCTCTTAACTGTTCCGTTCCCACGCCTATACAAATCGATCACCGGTGATCGACGCTTTTTCGTCATCGATTTAGGCATGTTAAATTTCTTTTTTGTGCACCCAGCACTTTCTAGTAGTTAGTTCAGCCACTCAACTTTCAGAATTTTTTTTTTAATTTGCCGACTTGGGCAACAGTGATTTTTTCACAGAATTTTGCGCGAACCAATGTCCTTGTAGAGTTGGAAAAATGCACTAGGTTGGCAAACTTGACAGCAGTGCGTGCCCCACGTGATTATGCTACGGTAACATCGAAGTTCTGTAATGAAAAACTTTGCAAGCCAAATAACGAATTCATCGGTTAGCTTTGCAATTTGAGTGAGTTGAGCAGTAATAATTGTCAGAAATTTATGCCAGCTAATCAATAGAGATCTGTTGCTAGAAGTCAGCGAAAATTAATTCTACAAAAAAAATATTTCCCAAGGTCCGCCACCTGTGTAAAGTGTGCAAGTGGCTCTCACAGCCAGTTTCCAGCCACTTTAGTTCTGCTTGTATCATTATATCAGATAGAGGGTCACATCTAGTGTCACTGGTCGCTCCTATCACACGGTCGTTACGCGCGCATGGCTGCGCATCAGCACTGCAAAACACATGCGCTCCTTGATACTGTCTTGCGACCCCACCTGAATTGAGTGAGAATGAGCTGAGATTTCGTGGATGACAGCACCTCAGCTTCAAGTTTTATGGCGATGATGTTTTGCATCAGCCTGAGAGATCCGTAGCCATTCATGGGTTTGTTTTGTTTACATGCTCAAGCTATCTCCTCCACTGCAAGTGCGTATAGCTTCTGACTTTTGTGCATAATCTTATAGTTAATCAGGTTACATGCGTGGTCCACATTTCGCTAGGGCACGGTGTGGTGGCGCTGGCTGCAGAGCTTCTCCTAACGGCAAGAAAGACCACGGAGCACATGTTGGCCCTGACTTCGCAAGAGTGCGAAACATTTTAGAACTGCGTGCGATATTGTCCTTTTTTTATTACGATATGCACAAAGATGCAAAGAAATATGCTTGGATGCCTATATTGGAACGCCAACCTATGCAGAGTGAGGTGTCTCATGGAAAGAGGTGACGCTAGATGAAGTAGCGAAGTTCATTGGACATCGCATTTATAGAGAGATTATTTACATCCCTGGTATTCATCTATATTGGAATACCTGACGACTCTTATCGCAAAGCAATGAAAATTAACTGAGAAGAGCATACGAGTAAACTTGTGTCTCATGAAAACTATGCAATGCTTCACTGCATGGTATGAGCAATGTAGCAGCACCTCGTTCTGATTTTCTTTGTCTATGTGAAAAAAAACATATTGTACAACATTAATTAATTTTATACTGTTCCTGGGTCATTTATGTATAAAATGTGTATTCTGATTTTTTTTTGTTTTTGGATATATTTGTATATATAGTGTTTATTCCACTGTTTACCAGATGGTGACAAAAAATTTCACACTTTTCACATTCTTATTCATTCTAAAATATTTTTGTTGCTCTACAACATATATTTTTTGGAAAGAGCATTTTATTCTGCAAAGTTTGGTATGCTGCAATGCATACTGGAGTTCTTTTCAAACTGGCAAAAGCGATCTTTTTGAGACATATGAAAAACAACCATTCTCGCGCGGTAACAAAAGAGTCAAGTTATGCACTGGCAGATAGGTGTTTGTTGTCTATGCTTGCAGGTTGCTTGCATCAACATCACGGCTCTGAAACTTTATAATATTCTATTCTATGAAGCTGATGCCGTTTGCACTTACAGTTTATGTTTTGATGCATTGCATTGGTTATCTATACTGTTGTTGGATGCTCTAATCGTGCTTGTTAGGTAAAATCAAGAAGTAAACTATTAGGTCTACTAAATATCACTGAACATCAAGGTGTCTGTACGAAAGTACTATGCATAGATCTATGAGGTTTCTGTCTAGCTCAGAGTGTACGTGTTGGTCTCAACACCAAAATGGTGAGGAGGCACATTCTAGTGTCCCCGTCTGAAGTGGCATGCGCATGGGACACACATCTGTAGGATGTACTTTCATTTGATGCCACTGTATCGGCATCAAATGAAACCCATACAGTGGCAAGCCTTCGTGATAGTATAGTGCACACCGTCGACTTATCATCATGGACAGGCATGCATATATGCACGGAGCTGCTGAACAGGATGCCCGCGCCTGTGAATGGTGGTAACCTGATGGTGCTCACTATACCATTGGGAAGGCTTGTCACTGTTCGAGTTTCATTTGATGCCGATGTTACAAGCATAGCAAAACATCCCATGATATTGTGCAAAGTGACAGGCGGTACTATATGAGTTGTTGGTCGTGATATCTCTGGTGAGCAGCACCAATCACTTTATGCCTGATTGTTTCTTTTCTGCACAATAACTTGTTTTGTGTGCGCACCAAGAAAGCCAGCAATGGTTGCCTTCATATGCATTGCAAAAAAAAGCGAAAGAAACATGGCTACTCATGATATCATTTGAAATTGTCAAAGTATATGTGGTAAAATGGAACCTTCTTGAGACTTGGTGAGTAGCTATTTTTACTCAGTAAATCATTACACATATTCACCAGTGAACTGAGTAAACATTTGCTCTTACTCTCTAATAAAATAAGCTTTGCTGCTACAGCTCCAAGCAGAAGCACCTTGCCATCTCGCAGTTGTTTTGTTTGGAGACCTTTGACTCATCTGATAGTAGAATAATTATACTTCTTGGTTGATTAAATGCTTTGATTTCCTAAATGGTCGGAATGCAGGCAGTGAAAACAGTGATTATTGATGTCACCATTACAAGTCTATGAGAATATATTGATTGACACTGCTTTAGGTGTCTGCTGCCAGTCGCAGCATGAAAGGGTCATTTTTGTTCACACCGGAATACTTTTCTGCATTATGAATGGGTAATAAGAAGGGACAGCATCTCATATGAAAAATAGTCAAGCCACCTGCGCTCCACAAGTGACTGCGTGGTAAAAGATGTGTGGCACTTAGCCAGCACTACACTGACTGTACCAATGTTTCCGTCACGGCATGTGCCTCACAGCATGATGTCACGTGAAAACCATGTATTGAGATGAAGTGTGCGCAAGCCAGCCCACTCCTAAAAAAAGTGACATTCTCATGCATTCTAGTTTAGCTGGAGAAGGGAAACTTTAAGTGCATTATTTACAAGAGCAAGCTATGACAGGCCTAATGTTTTTTACCAAATGCAACGCCATTAAAAGCTGTGCCGATTCAGTATCTCGTCAACCAAAATGCAGTGTGAAATCCTGCTGGACTACTCGGTGCCTTAACATGCACGCAGAAGCCGCCCCTGCAGCTCTTGTTGTTACAGAAAGCTGTCGGTGAGTACAGTAGGCCCATCTGTAGTGTTTTGAAAACGTCACCACAGTAGACTTTCTTATAGTCTTGGAGAAAAACAGTCACTGTGACTGGGCAGGCAGAGTGATGCTTGTGAAACTTCAGTGCTCTTAATTCTGAAACATCTTTGCATGTTATGCATAAACTTTATCAAACCACTGCAGAGAACGCTGCTTGTAGTGTTTCATTGATGAATTTAAGTAGACATTTTTAATAACGTCCAAAAATTTTATAGTTTAGCATGTTTATTGGGTTCAATGATATGTGATATAATTGCTAAAACTTAGAAGAACCGAGCGCTGGGCGAGTTGGTATAGATAGAATTTTGCGAAAAAAAAAAAAAAAAAAAAACGGACAAGGAGAAAGAAAGCACAGACAGGCGCAAACTCACAACTGAAGTTTATTTTCAGAAAAACACACATATAAAGGAAATGCAAAGACATGTGGTTATGATTACAGGCTGGCGTTTAGATCATCTATTTTGAGTTTATGAAGGTTCACTGATGGCCTCGCCACACACGTCACCAGAGTTATTTATAAAAAAGGCCTCAAGGATCTCTCGTGCGGCCCTATTTTTCAGGCTCAACAACACTTCAGTTTCATTTAGTAAAAGATGACATCTACAACCCTTACAATGCAGGCAGAAATGAGACAGAGGCTGCCCTTTCAGTGAATTTATGGGGTCCATTAATCGATTATTTAAACAGCTCCAGGTTTGGCCGATATAACACTTTCCACGTGATAGTGGAATATGATAGACTTTTCACACTTA